TTAAAAACTTTTATTTGAGATAGCTTTAAGTGTATCATAAGCAAATGTAGTATGAATAGAGAAAAAAATGATAATTTCTGAAGATAAATGCTATAAAGGCATGTTAGGTTGAATTATTTTCAGGAACACCATTATGATTATTAATGCATTATTGCATGAAAATTTTTAACATACCTCAAAGTAAATGTGAAATATTTCACATTTACATTGATATTATTCCCTTATTATATTAATTTTATGTTTAGGGCATCAAATTTTTTATATTTCCGTGTCCGATATCTGGTATGTTATATCATATCAAAAATTAGTCTTGTAAGCTTACTCATTTTGCCTTTACTCTACTTATCTTGCAGATTATTAACGTAAAATTAATACATCATTATTTTAAATAAATGATAACAAATAACCTCATTTTTCCATTTAAAAATAACAAAATTGTCTTGATTTTTGTAACGTATTTCTTGCTAAAAATTTTTGCCAAACGAAATAAAAAAAACTACAAAATTATTTATCCGAAAGAATCATAGAGAATACAATTGAATCAAATTCTATTTAACATTACAAATACGCATATGGAAATTATGAAACGAGGAAATATCAATCAAAGTTTAATATTATTATTTTAATTGTTGAGATACTAATCCTTATCTTAATAGTTCAAATGATTAATTAAGAATCTCAAGGCAAAAGTTTTATATCGTAGGAAGGACAACAATACCTATCTTCTTAACTGTATATGTCGATAAATGATTAATTTAAATATTTATTGTATTTTAATAAACATAAATTTATAAAATACATTGGATGGGAAATTAGAAATTTAGAAAAATGTCGGAATAGCTAATGGCAAAATGATCGAAGAAGAAAATTGGCTAATAAACTATTCCGGTTTACGAAATCAAAGTATCAAATACCCGTAACCGTTCTTCCTAGTTACGTATATAGATAAGAGAAATTGACGTATCCAGCAGGGCAAACAAAAATGTGTGTGTGTCGGAGATGGGGAGTGGGAGTGGAATAAGG